GGATGGGTAGATTACTTCATTTTCTTACCTATGGTGCTCCGCTGGCGCGCTTCGCGCGCGAGAGCTCCGCTATAATTGCATCACGTGACCAGCCACGCCCTATTAACAACAGAGAGATTAAGCTTCGCGTTTACGGCAAATGGCAAACGTGAATTTGTACCACGTGACCAAGTTTTCCATTTCCCTATCGTTTACTGTTCATTATAGCTACACGAAAATCGGTAGATTCACTTCAATTCTATCCATAAGAATTGTTTTAAGCTGTTTTTATCTGCTCCTTCTCATTTTGAAAATTTGTCAACATGAATCTCACGTTTGCCGTTGTCCGTAAGCGCGATGCTTAATCTCTCTAATAGAACAAAGTCTTTCTGCACTAAACTCCCGCCAGTTAGAAAGCAAAAGTACTTCCCAGACAGACAATATTAGGCTCACTTATCAACAGAACGGAAACTTCAGTTGGCGACGGAAAAGCGCGCAGAAAAGATTGAATGCGACTTCCGGTGTCCAATTTGCTGCTCTTCCATTTGTCAAGCCACAATTGCCTTCTATCAAGTATTTCTTCAGCAGGGTAGGGTGGCTTTGGGCAAATGATATATCGGTCCCCGGAAAAGTCACCTCAGGACTCCCGGGATGGATTTTTTTGGACAGTGCCCAGGCCTCATTTTCCTGGCCGCGCGTTGATCTGGCCTGGCTGCTTCGGCGAGCATATTCTCGGTCTGTTTGGATTATATCCTTCGAGTTTGTGGGCTTCGTTTCTCTATCTGGGAAAGCTTCATTGGTTTCTATATCTGCTGCTATCCTATTTCTACGATCCTGGCATGTTCATTTTCCGTTGTAGTTCGAATTGCGTGGAAAAAGTTGTGTTGAATGAGAGCATGTCGGCGAAAATGGCATCTCGTGTTTCCTGCCTTCATATAATAATAACATATATCTCACTTAAACTTTTTTAATGACGTTTAATAGTGCTTTGAAGCAACCTCGTTATTCCTGTTGTTGTTAATTGACGTCTCATTCAAAGTAACTAGAAATAAATCATAAAGGAAGAAAATTTTAGGATCGTATTTTTACCCCATACAAACACTGTAATTTTACTGGAACCGTACTGTGGTACTATCACAGAGCCTGGGTTACCTGTGCCTAAATCGCACATCTGATGAATAAGAACATGGCGGCAACTAGCACGAGTCCTAAGCAAAATGGTAACAACCGCTGACCATAAATATTGAAAACTCCTTACTACGGCACTGCTGTAGTAACATGGCTCCTCAACTGCATGTCTTGCAGTTAAGAAAAAATAGTAAACCTACATGAGTCCCTCAGGCTAAACGTTCAACAAACTATCAGTTCGATACTCAAACAGTAGAATCTCGAAAGTTCAAGTAACTGATCGGCAACAGCGAATGAATGTTAAATGAGTTAATCAAAATCAAATGTTCACTACAATGTTCATTGACAATAAAACCTTTGTAACGTCTTTCAATTGTGTTTTGTTGGCTCCTCGATGGGGACTTCCCTGGTCTCCTCGTGAGAGACATCCTCCTGGAACACTTCATCTGCAGTCAACAATAGAACGAGCTTGTGTATAGGTCTGTGTAAATATGATGGTGGGCGATGGCGTTAGCCACTATCATCCAAATTTCCGTCTGCTAACCTGACCTTTCTGACATATCCGTCGTCACTTGGGTACACCGGCACAACTTTGCCAAGTGGCCACTTGTTGGCGTGCTTTCACTTTCCTTAGAGATGACTATATTACCAACAGCAAGGTTCCTCTTAAGCTGGACGCACTTTTGCCTGACTTGTAACATTTGAAGATACTCTCTCCGCCATCTGAACTCTTCTCCAACGTCTGCGACAATACAGATCGGCTCTTTGAAACTTTCCTGGGGGCGGTAGCACTCTTTTAGGTTTCATAGTAAGAAGATGGTTAGGAGTCAATGGCTCTGGCGCTTCTGCATCACATAAGTTATCGACGCTGAGAAGTCTTGAATTAATAATGAACTTGACTTCTGTCAAGAGTGTTGGCAATGTCTCATCATCAAGTTGGCTGCCAGCTTGTAACAGTAGTGGTTCAAGTGCGTTGCGTACACTTCAAATCATACGTTCCCATGTCCCGCCCATGTGACTAGAATGGGGTACGTTCAACTTGAATGGAATCCACGCGCATCCATTCCTTAGAAAATAGTCTTGAACATGATCTTGATTCTTCTCACATAATGCTGCTTTCATTTCACTTCGTACACCAATGAAATTTGTCCCTTGGTCGGACCTCAGTTGTCTAACAGCACCTCTCCGATTCATCAAACGTCTCAATGCATTGATAAAGAAAGAACTCTTCAATGAATTGGCAGTCTCTAGATGAACACTTCGTGACTCCATACACGTAAACAATTCTCTATAACGTTTAACTTCATTTTTTCTCTCTTTGACAATGAACGGTCCAAAGTAATCAACGGCACAAAACGAAAAAGGAGAAGCTGGTTCAACTCTATCGCCAGGAAGGCAGGCCATCTACTGCTGCTCAGTGGGCCTACGAAGTAATCTACATGTCACAAAACTCGATATGAACCTCGCTACTTTTAATGAACCATTGATGAACCAATAGCCACTTTGCCGCAACTCGTTATGCGTCATACTACCACCCATATGGTTCACTTTGAGATGGTGATGTTGAATCAATAGTTCAGTCAAGTGTCCTTTTCGCGGAATAATGACGGGATGCTTCAGATCAACTGAACGCCATCATGGTCCACAAACGGATCCAGTTTGTACAGCGAACTGGTCTTTCGTAACGCTACGTTCCTCTTTCTAGCTTGGTTTCTGTTTGTCTCTCCGTCGGTTACATTTAAGTCGCAGTGATTTGAAGTTCCTCACGGAAATGTTCGTTCTGCAAACATCTGATGATGATCTTCTCTGCCTCCTGAAGCTCTGGACGTGTAACTCTCAGTATTGACTTCTCAACCTCTGTACTTGACCTTGTTACCAGACTCTCGGGTTTCTTAATTTCTCTTCTTTGAAGCTTGGACTTCAGACGCAAGCATAGAGCAATGACCTTCATGGCATGATACCGGCACCATATAGTCTGCTTATTTTAGAGTGACCAGGAAATGAAGCAACAATTCTGACCTTCGTGGTCAAAACGGACACTTTTTTTCACCGGGTACTCCAACTCATTTCTCACGAATTCACTCATTCTTGCAGAGGTAGAGCAGCAGCAAACTTCAGCCTTAGAATAGTCTTGTACTTAAGGGGGGTCACCCGTGCTTTTCCGACGATGAAGGAACAATCGAGCTTGATCGAGTTCGTTAATCAATCTTAGATAACAGCATTGACCATAACCTTCCACTGCAACGTCTGAAAAATGGTGGGCCTCCACTGCGCATTTATATTGCGCATTTTCTATAAAAATAATCAAATGCGCATTACAAACATTACAAAAAATACAAAAATAAGAACCTATTTACAATCACTATGAAATCAAAGATGAAAACTACACTATTTACAATTGGTTATAATAAAAGTGATTTGCAGAAAAACTACATAAAAATCTAAATACAAACTAATTGTAACAACAAAATGCCTTGCTGAATAAAAATGTCTTAAGTTTCTGTCTAAAACCACCTTTGGTGCAAGTAGATCTAATGCTCACGGGAAGACTGTTCCAAAGCCGTGGCGCTGCCGCCATGAAGGATCGATCCCCCATGGCAACTTTTGTGAAACGCTTTGGAGTGCTCAGAAGAATTCCCTTGTTATTTCGCCGTAAATCATAATGGGATGGCGGTAAAACAGAAATTAAACCAATGAGATATTTAGGAGCTGAGCCCTGGAGTACTTTAAAGGTGTTCAAAAGGATTTTAAACTCGATACATAGGCGGACAGGTAACCAGTAAAGCTGTTGAAAGAGCGGCGTAATATGACAGTGTTGAGGTGCGCAGAAGATCAATCGCGCACTGGCATTCATGACACGTTGGAGTTTTTGCATGTGATAGTCGGAAACTCCATAGAGGAGACTGTTAGATGCAATGTGTGCAATATCAGTTTTCCTGTGCTCCCAAACTTGCTAGAAAGTGTGAGATTGAACATTAGTTTTCCTTTGGTCTGGACGGACGGGCGGGTACGGTCACGTGATTGCCAAATTTTCTGGGATGGGTAGATTTACTTAGATATGGGGCTCTGCTCGCGCGCACCTCGCGCGTGAAGCTCACATAATGATAGGTTCGCTTTGATTCACAATAATTTTCTGGTCGCACTTGGGGGCGCTGGGTCGAGTTTTAATTTCTTTTTTCGCTTTTGAGTTCACGATCTGAGACTCTGCTTGCGAAACAGCTCCGAAAATTTCGTTCTGGACCCTCATCTGTGATTTGATCACGCGCCATGATCGGCCCGTTAAAAAAGCCATTTTCAATTTGCCAATCACCTTGAGGGGAAGTTCGAAAATCTTTTCCGGTCTGACTAGTCTCCAGTCGTCTTCGTATAACGCCAGCGCGCCACTAGGGAGAGATAGGGAGAGACTACTGGGCACGAGTCAGCTTTTCCGGTAATTCATTGAGTCCGTTGGGGGCCCAGAACATGGATTTTGGCGATGCTTTGTAGACCTAATGACTATGACTATCCCTAACTTCATCTTCTTTTTACAAAAGGACAAAAGTGTTTGTCAAAAATGATCTTGACTAAAACCGCCACAGGCTGGGCTGGACTTAAATTTAAAGGGACATTTTCTTCTGCAAAGAACTAGTGATTTCTGAAATAGGTTAGCATTTTGGATTTTTTAAAGACATAAGCCGTAATCTGGAACTATTAAGCTTTCAGAAAATGTACAATTTATAGGGATAATTATTAAAAGTTGCAAGCGCTATCGCGATCCTCGCGAAAACGGCCCTGAAGGGTAGATCTTAAAATAGCCCACCCAATTAAGCCATAGTTTCTAGTCGTAAAGTTAATTTTACTAACTTTATCAATGTGAATCGCTTTTAAATATTTATAAAATTAGGGCTCTAAACATGTATGATGATGATGATGATGAAGCTGATGATGATGATGATTACTATTATCACTTCCGCTTCTCCTATGTCACACTGCCAATGAAAACCCTGGTCTCGTCTTTCGATTTTTCACGGATATTTTTCCTCGTTTCTTTTAAATACAGTTGTTGGTCCTATGTGGGTAAACAAGGCGGAAAGCAAGAGGTGTCTCTCGGGAATGGATGCGAGTATAAGGGAATAGCTATTCATGAAATAGGTAGGTTTCGAGGTCGAATGTGAAAACAACGCATCGTTTTTGCAAGCTCTGTTTAAATATTGAACTTTCGTAGAGGTGAATCTTTTTTAACGTTAAGCCCCGACCTTTTTGCCTTGTGTAAATACATTACCTGTGCATTACAATAGCACTCAAAAAATAAACAACAACAACAACATTGACAAAACTGCAGAGAAAAAGCGTTGATGGATGACATCTGAAGATACTAATTTTGTCCTGGTCAATAGCCTAACCGATTATGACTTACCAATAAGGACATTATTAGGCAGGGTGGTCAATATAAATATTCAGTCAACTGACATATCCGGTAGGTTCTCATTTTAATTTGTTGCTTCGGTTAGCATCTTTTCTAGTGTCGTCATTTATTTCACTTATAGCCATCTTTGTAGTTCGATACCCTTAAGTCATTGCCTAAATCATGTCCGCATAGTGTGCTTTCATCCAGAATTCTCCTAACCCTTTGATTTTTTTGCTCCAGAAAGCTTTATGTTCATTCCATTTAATGTCATTGTATGCTATTTGGGATACTTTGTTTTCATTTTTGGTTAAGGTTAACTAGAACTTAAAGCTCCTACATTGGGCTTCAATTCTCACTGGAAACCTTCCTGTCTCTGGTGGCCTGCACCGCGCGCATTATTAGTACTGCAGTATATGTTATCTCCCAGCAACGCACTTTTGAACTAATTCTGCTGGATCCTTTTCTAATTGTCCATTGCAATTATCCCCCGCATAAAAGAGTATGGGAGATATCAGTCCTTCAAATGACTTCATCGTTAGTTTTATTTTTTCTCTGAAGTGGTTTCCCATCTCTTTTCGTAATTTATAGAGAGCTTTGAGTGCAACTTTATTTAACTCTTGCCGAGCGAGATTAAAGTTTCTATATCTCATTATTAGGTCCAAGCATGTAGGATTTGACGTTCTCTAGTACATCAGCGCCGTATCTGAACGACTGAGTCGTTTAAAGACATGTGCTATGAAAAATCATAATGTTTTGTCTTGTCTAAATCGGCATTTTCACGGGAAGATTCCAGCTTATTAAGGATCATTTGAAGGCTTTTTTCTGATCTAGAGAAGATCACAAGATCGTCCGTATTTGTCGCCAGGTCTCTTTGGAGTTCTACATATCGATATTAGACATGCATGCCTTCGCTGATATACAGTCGATTCCGATAACTCGAACCTTCAAGGGAAATCGAAAAAAGTTTGAGTTATCGGGAGCTCGAAGAAAATAGCCGGGAGTAAGGAAAAAAAAAACAGTTTTTACTGCACAGTGAATATTTTAATCACAGTTAATTGTAGAAATGTTAAGTGAAAATTGAGAGATATTTCTAGATTTGTTTATAAATCTGAACGTAACGTAACAAAATGTTACCAAAATAGAGTATGCGTTTTACTGTTTTGAGAAGTAAAGCTGTTTCACGTTGGATTTGTGACAAACAAAATCAGCCTCCACTAGTAAATTATTGCTGGTTTTCAGTGTCTTGCCATTCAAAATAGACCGAAATAAAAATCAAAACCGTTCAACAGATAAAGTCCGGAATCTGGGAAATGAAAGGACGTAAATATACCAAGTTTCTCGCCAAGATTCAGGCCAGAAGGATATTCCGTATACGAGATATCCGAAGAAATGTTTTACCCAAATTTATAGCGATTTGTATGGAGTCGCCATGCTGGTGCCCACCTGGGTGGGCACCAACATGGCGGACGAAAACCAACAAAAACATCTGTTACCGAGTTTTGGTACAAAAGAGTGTATTTATTCCTCGAGGAACTCATAAACATTAAAGTAATACTTATTCTAATCCATGAACTGTTTTGATAGCAAAAGTTCCCCGAAATACGTCACTTTTTTTAACCTACATGACAGCTCTCTCGGCCTTCATGTAAATGCCACGTCACGCAAAAGCTTAGAAATTAAAGCGTACTCTATCACAAAACAAAGAACCCTTTTGAAGCGAAAATTTGTATGAAAATTAGTTTTCAGCTGCTCTGATACATCATGAAAGTAAAATCTCAGTAGGATCGTTAGTTTTGTAGCTTGAATTTTACTGACGTCACTTAAAAAGCAACAATATACCCGCAACACGTGGTTTCGGACGCCAGTAGACTGTTTTTCCCGACTTTTTAAGGGCTCAAAACATGGTTCGAGTTATCGAGAGTAAAATTATATAGAAATGATCTGAGGGGGAAAAACTAATTCGAGTTAACGGGAGGTTAGAGTTATCGTGGGTTCGAGTTACCGAGGGTAAAATTACAGTAAATGTATGACGGAAATCCAGGGGATATCGATTTTGGTTCGAATAGCGCGAGGTTCGATCGAGTTAGCGAGGGTTCGAGTTATCGGGAGTCAACTGTACCCCCGTTTCTTTCGTTTATAAGTTTGTTTGAACCTCTTCTTTTTGTCTCGCGGTAGTTGTTCCAGTTCTGAATTATTGCCCCCGCAGGGATTTCGCCTTCTGGGCGAGGAGGCACTCTAGTAACTCGCGCGTATATTAAGGAAAGTACTTACAGTTGAAGTATACAGTCATACAGTCAATATCGAAGAAATCTCGATTTGCTTGAATAGGGGCCGCAAGGAAAGCCATCCATTACTACTGCAAAGATAACAAACGCGGGCGTTCATGCTTTACCAATCCTACTGCATTTCTGTCTTTTAGGGCTTCCCTGGCGAGTCCATCTAAAACACTGTAAATAACACGTCAGTAACTTCCATGATCATCGTTTGCGTTACGCAGTGACATTCTGTGGAACAGTTGTTTTGAAAGTTATGGACCAAAAGACACTCGTTAAGCGCAGATGAGGTTATAAGGTGCCTTTAATTGCGTATATATAAACACTTGGAGAGTTTGCCAGCTACGAGTTCACAAATCTTTGATTTATATTGGAAACCTTGCAGACAATCTTTCTCTCTCTTTGACCGGAATGAAACTCAGCCCCAAACAAGCAAGACGAGTGAACAACGGCTAGCTTATCACTAGCAGAACGATGGACGATTACAGAAATCCGCCGACAATTAAATTCTGTGCTAACTTATTCCCTGCTCCCTATCCCCTACCCCCTACCCCTTTCGACGCCTGCTACGCAGGCTACTGCTCACAGATGTCCTTCCGTTATAAAGTTTCAAATAAGACTAGAATGCGCAAGCGTGAATCGATCAAACGTCCTTTTATTTCTAAGGCTTACTTTCCGGCAAATAAAATGAACTGAATGTAAAAAGTGAAAGAGAAATAGCGAAAAATTCAACTTCTAATTAAATCTTTTCTTATGGTTTAGAATAAACTATTCTCGAAACTGACAATGTTTGATCAAAGCTGTGTAAATCGAGCTGAAACTGTGCATGGAACCTTACGTTTCCTGTATTTATATATTCTCACCTATTGTATGGAATATGTGTGAAAAACGTTATCATAAATCGGTATATTTCAAACAGCTACACAACGAGCAAGAATACTATTGAGCGACAATACACAGAACGGGGGCAGCTGTAGTGTGAACTAGTGTATTACTAGTTAGTGTTATGAGAAGTTTTCTTGCCAAGGGATTTCAAGTTTTCTTTTTCTGTTTCACGTTGCTGATCGAACCATTTGTTCTGTGATTTGCATTTAATTTTGCTGCCTCTCGCTTTCAATCTGGTTTCTTTGCAAGCTTCCACCAAGGTTTCACTTAGTAATTCAGACGTCATGATCGATGCTTTCCTGTTTTACATCTGCTTCTAATCTGGACTGTTTGTGATTTGAGACCATCCTTAAGTCTGTCCTAATAGACTTAATATTCCAGAAAAGTCTATTATATTCAGTCAAGATGAGTTCGGCTGATGTTTCAAAAGAATCTCGGTGAACAAAGTTAGCTTTTATCGCGAATGATAGGTGACAGTGATCGGATAAATGTGGCATTAACGGTTAACTATAAGATATCGCACATTTCTTAGAATACTTTTTGATGAAAGGAGGTGATCAACAACACTGCTCCCGTTGTCATGAAAGCAGGTCTTTTTACCTTCCAGGTCACCAACAATCCTTCCACTGAGATTTCGTAAATTAAACGCTGTGCAGGTTTCTAGCAAATTTCTACCCCCAGCGTTGAACGTTGGCTGAATCTCTCTCTCTGCCCCCCCCCCCCCCCCCCCCAAAACCGTTTTGTCGGTGTTTTCTGTGCTGCTTATTTTTCAGGACACGCTCTTGGATTTTATCATGAGCAGTCTCGCCCTGATAGAGACAACTATGTGACAATTAAAGAGAAGAACATTCAAGAAGGTAACATTATTAATAACTGTTTGATCTAAAAAGAAAAAAAAATATCAGAGAATAATTGTTGAACGTCGCCGCCCTAGTACCTGTTAATTGGCTTAAAAATTTGAAACGACTTATTATTCAAAGGCCTACAGGATCCTTTAATGAAACCTGTATTAAGCGGACACCCCCTATTAAGCCAGAAGTAGTCGATCAAATTAAAGTTCGCAAACTTACTTCCCTTCTTTGCTTTAAATGAAACCTTTATAAAGCGGACACCTATATTCAGCGGACACATTTTAACACCTCAGTAAAAAGTGGATGCAATGTTCAAACCTGTATACATACAAGGAATAGGTATTAAAATACCACTAAATACTATTAGCTACACGGTATATTTTTTCTTTAAAACGTCTGGACCTATCGTACATAAATTTAAGTAAGAACCTTTTAAGGCTAACTTAGGAAAAAGAAAGGCTCTTACATTATAACTGCGGATTTTTCCTGTATGTCTGGTATGTGACTTAGATTATTATGATGACGGTGATTTGTATCCGATAGATCGTGGTTTTGTTTGGAACCATACTCTCATTTCATCCTCTTAATATTTTAGACGTTTGACATTCATTATTGTTTCAAGTAAAGTGAGAGCCAAGAAATGTTCTGTACATAATATGACCGGACTGGAAGACCAAAAAAATAGCCTTCAGAAAGACACAGGATTGATTTTGTTTTTCGCCACGAATACAAATAGCCACGAATACAAATCTATCCAACTAACTTCAAATCTACTTGTAACTGTAATCTAATTGTTAACGTGTTGATGTGGACCCCAAAATTTTATCCCTTAAACGCTAAGACGGCTTCTTTAGCAAATATTTTTAAAGATGATCAACAAGTCTATAAGCTTCCGTGTCAACTTTTACAACTTTCCCTTAGAGCAGAAACTACATTATAATAGCTCGTAGTTTTGGTCATATTTCGTGACACTTCCTATTCGGGATATCGTCGCCGACTCGGGAACGAGCGAACTTTTTTCAAAAATTTACCACTTAAAAGTGGTACAGAGGAAACTGGTGATGAGGACGATGAAGACATTGTAAATAAATGAATTCAGAACAATAACTGAAAGGTTATAAGTCTACATACATTTCGGGCAAGCACATCTGCGGCACTCACCCATTTACGACATTAAATTCAGTTTCGGTGAATTATATAATCCGGAAAATAAGTGCCCCTCGAATCTTGAAATTTCCTGGCTACCAGAGGTCTCTCACGGAAAGAGAAGAAGGAGAGGAGTTTTAGACCAAAAAGCCAAGTTACCACGTTAAAATTTGGTCGTGCCAACTTCGCCCGCGGATGCCGCTTAAAAAAAAGGAATTTACTTAGCCTATGCACAAAAGTTGTTTTTTTTTCCCTACAAATTTTGTCGTATGCGCGCGAGCTAGCGAGGAGTATGAGAACAAGCGCGAACCCCACACCCTCACTAGCGTTCAAAATGGAGGGATCTGAAAATAGGCTAGAATGTGCTTTGTCAGGTAGGGCAAAATACTTTAGAGTTGAAACCTTCCTTGTCCGCCAAATAAGTTATGAACCTTTAAGTTAACAACAACAACAACAACAACAAGAACATTGATTATTTATAGTGCGCCCATTCTAATTTAACGATAGCCGAGGCAAAGGGTTAAAATCAGTTAAAAGATTTTGCAAGGCAATCATTAGATAAAACTATTCGCTTGCCAGGAATCTGGCCTTTAATCGTTGCTGTGAGTGTGTGCTACTCCTCTTACGTCGTGTTAGACCTCTCAGTGGGAGCTTAGTGTACACGACTACGATTCTGCCGATCCGAAAACATTTTGGCATAATAGCCGCCGCGTCAAGAGTAGTATGCTGTCTATTCTAGGCGAGGTGTCCGTCTTTAGAGGTGTTTGTTGAGAAAGTTGATCATGCTGAAGCACTCTAATCATTTAGTTGTTTTCCTGCTTACTTACTAATTAGCATCTCTAAGAAAGGTTCATCGGTTGCAATACAACCGCCCCCTGGTTGGCTCAGTTGGGAGAGTGCCGGTCTGCTGAGCGGGAGGTCGCCGGCTGAAACCCCGGCTGCACCAACACTCAGGGTCTTTAAATAACTGAGAAGAAAGTACTGCCTTTGTAATGACATCTGCAAACGGTTGTACTTTCTATAATATTCTCGGATAAGGACGAAAATCCCTAGGTCCCGTCTCACAGCACTTACACTTATCTATTCTTGTGGAACTTAAAAGAACCCACACCACTGTTCGAAAAGAAAAGGGAACGTACACCCCGGTGGTGTGGCCAACTCTTACGGATTGTGGGATTGGGTAGGGATAGCACCTTGCATGGGACCTATGAGTCCCGTTCGTGCCCATTCCCTCTGGGCAGGCCTGTGTCCAGAAAAGCTGGTAAAAAAATACATAAATTTAAAAAGTGAACCAAAAATACTTCCTCCAGATCTGAAGTCCCGTCATTGCCATCCAGCAGTCGTTTTATTATAATTATAATTTGCCTCGTCTGTTATAAAACTAATATCGTCCCATGTAAGGCAAGCGAGAACAGTCTTAAACTCTGGATTCCATGCTGTGGATTCCGGACTTCGATTACTGGATTCCAGATTCCTTGTTAATGGAACTTGGATTCGGGATTCCAATCGTAGTGGGGATTCTGGATTCCTTGAGGTAAGTTACGGATTCCAAAACCCAGGATTCCAGGTTTCCACACATGGGCGATACATAACTTTTTTTGGAGGTACAAGTAGCAAAAATCTGCCTTCTGAAGTACCATAAAATTTCGAAAATAAGCCCCGGGGGTTATATTTTTCAAAGGTCCTTTTTGAGGGGCTTATATTCGAAGGCGCTTATCTACGGAGGGAAATTTGCGTTTCAAAATCGATTGAGCTACCCTTATAGTTGGAAGTAATTTACTGTTTTTGCTTTGTTTCACTCTGTATTTGGAGGGGCGATTTAACGGAGGGTTTTTGCGTTACCGGTTTGGGGGGCTTATATTTGGAGGGGCTTATACATGGAGGGCCTTACTTTCGGAATTTTACGATATACTTGTCCGAGGTATAACCCACGTCCTTAAAGAAATAGTACAGACAAAGATTAATCCTGCTGTGCCTTTTTTTTTTGGTTTAGGCTCACTAGTGTGACGTCAGCACGACGTTTTTAACAATAATATTTTGTTACTCTCCCTTTGGATAGGTATGGCATATAACTTCGAAAAAAGACCGAACTTTGACTCGAAGGGAACAGAATATGATTACGATTCCATAATGCATTACGGAAAACTCGCCTTCTCCAAAAGTCGTCGACCAACAATTAAGCCAAAAGACAGGAATGTAAGTATGGTATGATAATGAAGTATGTCTAAAGATAAAAAAAGGGCGACTAATCCACAAGGAAAAAGAACAACAATAAAGAAAAAATAACAAAACAACAACATCAAAAAAGAAAAAACAACAACAACAGCAACAACAAAACAGAAAATCCACAAATGTAATTTTAATTTACCACAGAACTCGTTTGAAAGTGTGTGTTCTTTAATTTCTATTTCTTTCTATATCGAATTTTACGTTTGAAGTGTTGGTTGTTAAGGAGATGGGCAAACTGTGAGTGGAGTAGTCTAGGATAGGGTATATAAATCAGAACGTTTGGGACTAGAATAGGGTATCATTTTTCAGGAAACTGATCAGTTGGTTGAAGATTTTATTTAGACTAGGGACTGTGGTATAAGGTTTTGTTTTGGCTAGACTGAGCTAGTGACCTCAGTGGTTTCTAGAAAACAGCTACTCTAGGATAGGGGAGATTTGGGGAGTTTACTCTAGTATAGGGTAGCAAAATTCAGCTGAACTAGCTCTGGTATAGGTTAAGGGTTCCAGGGTCCCAGTAGCACATCCCCACCCAGAAATTCCCAAAGTACCCCCCCCCCCCCCCCGGTCCCCCCCCCCCCCCGAGGGAAGATGCAAGGACGAGACAACAACAAGTCTTTATTGTGACCACAAAAAAATTCACGACTTCAATGATCGAAGACAGCAAACTCTATATTCACCTTATATCATGGACATGTATGGACCATTACTAACACCGAAAACAGAAACAAATATAGAAACCGTACAATTTTTTTTAAAGGTGATTATATGGAAATTTCATATATTTGAGCTGCGGAAGAAGCATGAGAACGTTTAAGTATAGTTCAAACATATGGAATTTTTCTTCTACGGGCTTTTTCGAAATCATCACGTTTTCAGGAGGTAAGAGCACTGCACAATTACTGCGGCTGGTGTTATGGGTTCGAATCCGGTTCGGCCCTGAATTTTAAAATACATGATTCTATCTTTCACGAAAACCTTTTACATTGCTCCTTCAACTAAGATCAGGGGCAACCAACGATGGTTTCCTCCTAAATAGATTGAAAAAACTTTTTAGGCTATTCAGAGTAATTTTAGATCTGTAGAAATGCATATTGAGTGGCGCTATAAAATTTGTATCTGTTAGGTCATGCAAGGGGAACTTGAGACTTTTTGAAATTACGAGGGCTTCAGTATCATTTTCCCCGAAAATTTTAGATACAATTAACGCTAGAGTATTACGAAAGTGAGATTTTTTACTGATGGTCTTTACTGATTCCTCTCTCCATCACATTTTTGAATCCAAAAATTTTAAGGTTTCTTTTTTTCTGCAAAAAAATAGGCGGCCTAACCTGAGGAGTTACATGTGAAAAATTAAACTTTAAAATATCGTAGAGAAGTTATTAGGTAAGCTTCGAAAATTGTACATGAATTGAACGGCCATCCAGCCGTCCCTAAGTAACGGAATATTCTAGGCAACATCTGCTTCTCCGAACAGATATTTTACAGAGAACAATCTTTGGGGGCCCCTGTAAGATTTATGGACTTCTTCAGCCCGAATAGTTTATATTAGGAGGTTTTTAAACACTTCATTGGCCGGAAATACTGCAGTATTATATAGAGCGTTTTCACTCGCGTCAGCTGTAACGTGGCCAGCAGCTATGAAAAAGTTTTTGGGACAACAAGAACAACAAGAATGTTTTACATAACACGAAGGTTCAACTCCCACATGACTAGAATTATTTTTTGCCCAGTTTTGCTGTGGAAGCGTGAATTCATCCCTCGAGGTAGGGGCGGATCTAGGGGGAGGGTGCAGGGGGTGCGCACCCCCCCCCCCGAGATGACCTGCGGTTTTCTAATACAACTGGTATTCTGCAAAAAAAAAAACTATGTGGTTTATTGGTGTTGAAGAAGAGCAAGAGACGAGTGCACCCCCTCCTAAAAAAAATCCTGGATCCGCCCCTGCGAGGAACTCATAAACTTTAACTTAATATTTTTTCTAATTCAAGGACTATTGAGATAGCAAAATCCCACAAAATAATTCACTTTTTCCCCCTACATGACAGCTCTCCCGGCCATCACCATCACGTAAATCCGTTAGGTAAATGCCGCGTCACGCAACAGGTTAGAAATTCCAGCCCACTCTATCACAAAGTAAGAACCTTTTCTATTTGCTCTAATAGTAATACTCAATAAAGTAAAAGCTCGGCAATTGTAACAGTTTGAATTTTGGTTACGTCATGTAAAAAAATAAGACTGTGCGTAAGTGACGTCATGTGAAAACGCTCTAGAAGTTTCAACGCTTTATGAAAGTCGATTCCAAAATGACGGGGTCACAAAGAACTGAATCTGTGCTGCCTGTGGAACAGTTTTTATTTTTAAGAGTTTCACTATTAGTTTCGCCCGTGGATCCACTCACACCAGGGAGCCATTTAGTTACCAAATGACACACTACTTATAATTAATACTTTTATGTATATTTGTAGGCTGAAATTGGTAACAGGGATCATCTCAGCGATATCGACGCAAAGCAAATGATGCTCCTGTACGAATGTAAGTCCACAACTGACATTCTAATCATTTTCAAATGTACTGGAAATAACAGAGAGCTTTCAAAGAGGGTTTTAATGGGGTGGTGGCTTTTACGGTTATCGGTTAAAATTTGGCTCTTTTACGGCTATCGGTTAAGTTTTTTCAGTTACGGCTAACAAGAAAGTTAAAAATTAATTTCTTTTGTTTCAAAGAGTTTGATATTAATAAACCTGTATTTTTTGTATCTTCAAAGCAAAATAAAGGTCGTAGGATCATCTCGGGATAAAACGAAGCTATTCTTTTGAAAACTTTTAACATTTGATAGATCATACTATTTATAAAGTATGCCATTTCTAATACATTATTTTACCCATAGAAATGTCAATAGTCAATTCAAAAATAATCTTTGTGAAAAAGCAAAAGCAGACACGCGAACGCCCAACTCAAGGCAGGAGGGACATTCATTTATAACAGAAATGGCCTTTGTCACAATAGAGTAGAGACGGATTGTTCGTGTGAGATAGGTTATCCATTTGATAGTTCGCGTCAGATAGGTAGGAATGGTTTTAATTTTGAATAAACAATCAGTCTGACTTTATTCGTCAATTTTGACGGACAGTTTGAAGAGGATTATCCATTTCAGAAAGCCTGTGTGCAGCCGCCCCCCTCCCCTCAGCACAAAAATCGGAGAATGGGTCTCTATTGAGGAGGGGGCGACTGTATACAGGCTAGTCTCAGACGGATAATCCATTTCAAGTTCTAGTTCGAAAACGGCCAATAACAAAATTCCCGTGTCCAGTGTTTTTAATGACAGCGAAGGACTGTACCGGTCGACTGTCCGCCGTTTCCTTACATATATAGGCCTCAGTATTCCGCGCGGCTAATGCGTTTCGGGCCACGTGGTCCGAGCGAGTGTTTTTCTCAGATACGCCACTGACGTGGGAAGACGCCGAACAGGGACTAGGCATGGCAATGTCTACCGTAGCGTCAGAGAAAAACAGGGAATGTTACAGGGAATTGTTGTTTGTCGGAAACGTGTTTTACAAACAATGACATCTCTGGGGTGTATTTCGAGGGCCGTGACCTCCCGAAAATCGCAAACTTTAATCCTCAGCAAGAAGCGAGATTTTCGCTATGGAAAAAATAGTTCCCCGAGAGAGCGGCTCAAATGGAATCTAGGTCTAGGTCACACTATTTACGACTAACGGTTAAAATTTTTCAATTTTTACGGCTATCGACTAAATTTTTGGCCGTTTTACGCCTATTGGTTAACCCCATCGAGATCCTTTTCAAAACTATCTGTTTTCATCAAGAAACGAGGTCAAAGTTACGTTGTACGACGTAACTGAAAAAAATTAACCTATGGCCGTAGAAGAAACAAACCTTTAACCCATATGAACCGTAAAAGCCCCCATCCAATTGACAACCTCTTGTACCTGCTGCTGCCAAAACAGACTACAGTGTTAATTGCGAAAGTAAATATAAGATTGCACTGCGCTAAAACTTTAAAACATGACAGACCTTCTCAAGTATTTTTGTATAGCGTACTATAATTTGTATAGGTAATAGCATGATTTGTAGTGATATTTGGCATAAATACCACGAGTGATATTTCGAAATTGCTAAACGTATTTCACGAGCCGTTAGCTTTATACCCTGTCAACACATATCCGAGATATCCGTTATAATTTGAAAACGAGTGTCAGGAGTATTTTACTATCCTGATTGACCTTTTTTGTCCACACGCATCGAAGATCTAGGGGCATTTGAGGTTAACCCCGGGTGCAGAGGATGTATAAGTGTTCAGTGGGACAACTCTGTCTGTATTCAAGCATTGATTTTGGAATCGCAGAGAGAAAATTTTAGAATGTCTCAAGATCATTAAAAAAGTATCCCTTTCCAACAGAAACGGAACGTGTGGGCGGAATAAAACGAGAAATTCTCTGGAAACGGAGGAAAATTGCCGCGTGGACGGAGCCTTAGCAATTTTTTTTTGAGCTGAACGACCTAACGTTTGCCCGAGTCACTAGAGCAAAAATAATTGAGACCAAACTTAAAGCTCGGCCATCAACAAATTAAAGAGCTGGCCGTGAGTACCTTGCGCGAGCGCATAGCCGATTACTCTAGCAGTGGCACGCTTCGCCATTTAAAATTTTCATTAAGATGAGCACCGACCACCCTAGATTATAAAAGAGGTCACAAACTGAAGGCTTCATCCCGCTACCCTTGAAAACAGGGAAATTCATAGACGTAATCTGACTTATAACTACAGGCATTGTAAATTACGAAGTAAAAACGATTGGACACTAAAAGGTGCTTCTATTTTTGCCAGAATGGGTAAATATTGTCCGGAATGCATCTAACAGAGGGAACAGCTACAACCTTTCTCTAGGAAATTTTAACAATGGTCACGTGACAAGCCGATGCTAGGGTCTGAACCTCCTCCAGCCTCCATTCAGTGGGAAAACCCACTGAGAAGACGCGGTTGGTTTTTCCCGTCTAACGTGACTTACGCTTATTTCAACCTTAAAATTTTGCATTAGTATAGGTTTCCAGTCGATTTTTTCTTCTCTTTATGTCATCGCAGGTCCTGGCGGCGGTGGTGATGGCGGCGATGGCGGCGATGGCGGTAAGTAGAACTGATGTTAACTCAAGTTACCTTGCGCGCTGCGTGGATGTTTCGTAGAGGTTTCGCATGACTAAACGCCATGCAAAACATGTCGGGCGAAAGGCAAAGAAAGCGTAAAGAGATCGAGAGCATTTCTGAATATTGAACGAAGCGAGTAGGCGCTCATCTGGGAAAAGGGAATCGCTAGACTCTTTGACAACCCGTGTAATAAAATGAGAAATTTCGCCGGTCTATTGAAACCTGTCGTTCGTACAATAAAGCAAGAAGCAAGTAATATTCATGTAAATGTAATTAGTTTTACAAATTTGAATTTTATTGTAGTTTTTTTAAGTTGTTAAGCACTGTTGATCAGTGAATGTAAATAGCGCTCTAGAAGTTATTAAATTATTATTATTATTATTATTATTATTATAGGACGCCAAGTGATATTTTTGTTGAATAATAAAAGACTAATAAAAGAATAAATATCAAACCAGAAATTACTCTCTTCAAACTGTAAATTATAAATGATCCTGAGAGAATATTCAGTGTTAAGGATTTCCCTGCTGTACTGTTAGCTCTATACAAGAGAGGAAGGGCGATTCTTTTTCAATTTCCGTTTCGCTGACACAGCTTTAGCAGAAATCTCTCTTTAGTCGTTTTCGTCGACAAAACGAATAGGAATATTGCTCTCCGCGTCTTCCGCCATTTTTTTTCTGCCTCAATTCGTGAAGGACGCGTGGCTCTGAGCTGGGTCATCCACGCGGAACACAAAGCGCGATACACTAACCGACAACAGATTAGGGGAAACCCTAGACACCACAATTTTTATTGAGCTCTGCTTAATGGATACCTTATCCCATACATACCCCCTACGGAAGACTGTCCCCTTTATCCTCTCTTGTTCAACCTTAAAATTTTGCATTAGTATGGGTTTCCAGTCGATTTTCTCTTCTCTTTATGTCATCGCAGGTCCTGGCGGCGGTGGTGATGGCGGCGGTGACGGCGGCGATGGTGGTAAGTAGAACTCATGTGCTCGGACGAGTTCCACGAAATGTATAGGAGACTCTTCTTAAGAAATTTGACCGAGGTCGACAAGACATGTTGCGTGATCGGGTTTGATTGACGGCGCATCAGTAAAACCGTTCGTGATTGAATAAAACAAACAGGAGGAAAATTCCTCCTGTAAATTTGGCGCGCTGCAGGGGATAAAAGTCCTTCGCGCTGGGGCCAACTACCGGAACCGGGAATGAGAAGCGAAGGACTCTGACAAAGTCAAGTCAAGACGTTTTCAAAGTGTTGTGGATCTACAAATGACTTATTGACGGACTTGAATACTTATAAGCAAACTGACAAACTATAAGTTTACAATAACTTAGCGATTTCTTGGGCACTGATTGGTCTAGAGCTATACTCGATAAGAATATACAGACCATGAAAATGAAATGATGGTGGCGCAAATTGTTTTTCTTTTTCTCTCGCACTCGATTTTCCGAGAGACTTCAACGCAAATGGACGTCAAAACTGTCAAGAATAATTTTGTAAAAGACAAAATCGGCAACAATTTTCCATGGTCTTTACTCTTATCGTCCAGAGAAATGACATCAAAAAGTTCAAAACTTCAAGGCCATGAAACCACTCACTCGTATACGACTCGTGGTTCCACTTGAGTTTTGAACGTCTTGACGTCATTTCTATGGTTGATAAGAGTAGAGACGTCAAGAGCACAGACCATGGAAAATTGTCGATTTTTTTTCCAACTTCAGGACGACAACCCCCCGGACGATAATGACCAGGGTAGGACGGAGGATTTTGTGATAGAGGGGGCCTAGAGATATAGTGTACATTGGCAATATGGCGCGATAGCGCCCATCAGGACTGCGAACGGCGTACCTTTTTAGGGAGTTTCAGGCGCCTGCTCCTCCGGGAGATTTTTGAGATTGAAGTTCTCTGAGATGCAATCTAGGGCATTCTGGACGCTTAAATTTAGCAAATGCCTCAATAGTCAAGTTTCGAGTCCGCTATGACCGCTGAATTAAAGAAGTGAAGACGCATTTTTAACAGGCTTAGCTTCCATCTGAAGTAATATATTCGCGAATTCCAACGAGAAAAAGACCTTTTTACTACTCTATCTATTGTGTATATTCAAATTTCAAACACTTACTTGCCGGAATTTTGAATATTTTTACGTTATGTCGAGGCTAACCCTGTATAAATGTGCCGTTAATGTTTGTATTCAGCGGTAATTTTTAATTCGAAACTGGACTTTTCCATACTGAACATGTAATGCTGAAATATTTAATAAACCACAGGTGTGGTTGTGGTCAAAGAAGTAATTAACACTTTAAGATCTTAGCAGGGGCTGAAGTGATTGCGGCGACAGCACAGCCTCCCGGCGACAACATTGTCTCCCTGAAAAATTGTCAA